CCATTTTTAGGTATTATTTTTAAACAGTTAGTAACTGAAAACTATGAAGGTGAGAGTGTTCTCGGTGTTATCATTATTTGACAAAGAACCTTATATCGATTGTAATGGCTAATATAATAGCGGCGCCTTTTTTGTTATCATAATCCAGAAACTTAAGAAAAAATCGTATTTCAATTTTTCGTCTGTTATTGGCATGGCTGCCCTTTCCTTTTTGGTGCAAATAGAGATGGAAACCTTTGCCACGGTGAAACCTTTGATCAGTGGTTAGAACTAACACATGTTATTTCATATAGAATACGCTCATTGGGTTATACATTGATAGAAAAGTGGGAGTGCGGTTACAAACAATTTTTAAAGAATAATCTCAATTTAGAAATATCAATTAATGTACATCCTTTGCTACAAAACACGCTACTTAAACTTCATGATGCTTTTTTGGCGGGCATACTAAAAACTTTGTCACGTTACGTGATGTAGATGAGTCAAAAAAAAGTATGTTGATGTATGCTTACTTTATCTATACGTGTGCAAAATAGGAAAATTTTCCGTAGGTCATCCGAAAACTTAAGTCGGTTCTGAATGTAATAAAATACTACCAAATGAAAATAATTTTTTAGCCGTATAGGGTCTTATATAATGTTCGATTTTACCACCCCGTGATCTTTTATATACTGTTTTACCATCAAGATTTCACGGTAACTTCTATATGTATTATGTAGTACCGGTGCCGAAACGAGTCATCCGGGTAATTGTTATCATAACGATATTGCTGAGCGTATATTACCTAATACCTGGGTCGTTGATGAAATACGTAAAGCTATAGAAAAAGGTTATCGTTTTTTAAAAGTAATGGAAATATGGCAGTACGGAGTAATTCAACATAACTGGGATACATGCGTACATGGTCTTTTCACTGACGATATTAAAACTTTTTAAAAAATAAAGCAAGAGGCAAACGGTTGGCCAAAGCCATGCGCAAATAATTCCACTAAACAAAAATTATACATAGAAAATTATGAAAAAGTTGAGGGTATCAAATTAGAAGGTGATAAAATAATACATGATTCTGGTTTAAGATCAGTTGCAAAATTATTTTTGAATTCTTTATGGAGTAAATTTAGACAGTGTGAAAATCTTACACAAACGGTGATTGTTACAGATCGTGCAAAACTTATGGAATTATTAACAAATCCTAAAATTGATATTACAGGTTTACATTGTGCTACTAACTCTGTTTTATATGTTTTACATGTACAAAAAAAAGAATCTCTCGAATCATACCCTACGATGAATGTTGTCATAGCAGCTTATACAACGGCCCAAGCTTGCTTAAAATTATTTTTTTATTTAGAATAATTAGGTAATCGTGCACTTTATAGTGATACCGCTTCAGTTATCTATCTATCTAATAAATGTAGCATTGATCTAGAATCGGAAACACAGATTCTGTGTCTTGGGCATTGCTGCTCTCGTTCGCACTTCCCTTCTCTCTTCACCCACTCCCTCGCCGATTTGTCTAATTTCCTAGTACAATTTCTTTTCCGCGCACGCCTTGACAAATTGTTCGAGTGCTTTACATGTGTCTTTTGTTTGGACGAATTTTGGCGCTATTTCAGGCCATGTTAGGTTGAGGTCAACGTTTGTTTCGGAACACAGTGCAGCAGGAAGTGCTCCACTGTGTCGTCGTCTTCCCTATTGCAATTAGGGCAAGTCGGGTCCGTCTTGGTGGCATATTGTGCACGAAATATACCATGCCCTGTGAATATTGGCGTCATCAGGTTGTTTAAGCGAATCCAATTATTGTCGAGTCTATCTGCTATGTTTGGGAAAAAGTGATATGTTTTGCGGCCCGTTTCAGACACATCCCATTCTGCCTGCCATATCTTGAGTGTTCGTAACCTGAGGTTCATCTTCGGCGTCGACGATTCTTCTGACGTACTGTCATTTGAAGAGATTCTAACATTGTTATACGTTACTGTTTCGTCGGTACAAAGTGTGTATCGGGCATTGAGATCACTTATCGCCATGCGTATAGACGGGACGTCTACTGCCACGTAGATGCAAGCCCTCGGGGTAGATGCGCGAGCGTGCGTGACAACTTCCAAGACACCCCTCTACGCGGCAGCAAGCGTTAGCCAATTTTGAGCCTTACATAAATTTCTTTATGCCGGAGACGCATAAGCGACCACCGGCAAAAAGCACCCCCCATATATATAGTTAGGCAAGTGTGATAGTTGGATCCCCAACGCATTCGCAAAAGGCGTCTCATTTTGTGAAATAGCTTTTCTGCTTGCATCCGTTGTTTATGAATATAAGTGGATATATTAATATAAGGTCTCTGCCAAACCAGACCCCCAGGTACGTAACTATCTTTGGGTACTTAATTTTATTACCCTCTATGGTGATCTTCGGCTGTGTACATTCGCGCCTGTCTTTCTTTCTTCTGAGGTGTAGTTTATATTCTCGATAGTTGGAATTGTTTTTATCCCTGTAGTTCCTCTTGCCTCTGAGTTTAATTTCCCGTCTCATAAAGATTGCACCTGTTTTTGTTTTTGATAACTCGAGCTTGGCATTCTTGCACCAAGTAAGTATTGTGTCGACGTCTGCCTGTCCTTTGGTCTCAAAGGTATCTCCAGAATATAAAAAAAAAATTGAAAAACGAGAAGTGTTTGACATTTTTTAATATTCCGCCAACTGTAGAAATTGGAAAGAATAAAGGCTCTAAGTGTCTGGCACTAAGAGTGAGAGAGACAACACTTTAACCCCCTCAAAAAGGTGTCCTGCGTTATTTTTTCTTATCATATGAAAATCGAATATGTTCAATCAATCTAGCATTAAAAACTGAATCAATTGACAATATTTCATTTTTTTATTTTTTCAAAAACGATTTCCATGAGATGAATATCACCTAGGTTAAGTAATAAATCCGTTTTTATCTTATACGATGAGAGTGTAAAATTATACTTGCTATCTGTAGAAATTGTATGTGTGGCAAAAATGCTGGTCAACAGTTATTACTGGCCAGCATTGATGATATGTGCCTATGTCAATAAGTCACAACTCTGCGTTTCGGTTATACTGTTTATTCACTTATTTCTTGGTTGAAAGCTGATACAAGAATGATACAATGTTTTTCTTACTCACTAAAATCTCTATTAATATTAATTGCCTGAATAGCTTCCACTATTATGTCTGGAGGGTATTTCTAATTTCTCAGCTGAGTTAAGCAGGGGTGTGCTCAGACCTTTATGTTGTTGGTGGTTTGAACAGATTTTTTGTAATGGAAATTCTTGTCTTAAAAAATATAGATGGTTTAACGGCCTTTAGGAAAACCCAGTCTATGGTCAGGGAAAATCCCTTCTATTGTTATTTTATGGTTTTTATCTTGTTGCTAAACACTATCAATTAACATACAATGTAGAAAAAAATTTTAATTTCAAAAATTGTGCAAATTCAAATTATTTTTCCGCAGAAATTGCAATAGATATAAATAAAATGTTTCGAACAAACATTGTAAATCTTAATATTATCTACAACTTTTGTTAAAAATATTTTTCTATATCAATAATAGTTTACGTATAGAACGTTAAAACGGTTTTTGGAGTGATCTTACCTCCTTTTTACCCTAACGCTGGGTTCGCAACCCCCTCAAAACTATCTGCAGTCAAATTTCACATGCCTGAGACTATAATTTTCGGGTGCTTCATTCTACTGATATTTTCTGGTGTGGAAAACAACTTCATTCAAAAGTATTGTACAATAAGACCAAAGAACAACTTCGGAAAATAAATTAATAAAAGAAAAGTTTATTAAAGAATGACAGCAATTAATTGAAAATGAAAGAATCCGAGCGGTTAACTCAAGTCTCAGTCAAAAACCGGAGATAAACAAACTCTCCCCTTGTTGCTATCAACAATCTAATCGTCATGCAATCGTCGCTAACTAACAAACTGATGTTAGACTAATAGTCATTAGATGGCGACATACAAATATTTTACAGTATGTTTGTGCTGAAAAATGCATTGGTAGCTAATTGTAGTTGATGATGAATATAGAAACATTAATTCTCACCCATTGACAGTTATTTATTTAAAGTTTCGGAATCAATGTAAAAAAAATTCATTCATTTATTGACTTTGGATTTTTTATAAATGTTTCTCATTTTCGTTGGTAAAATTTGCATCACAATCAGCTTATTATCATCAACAATTTCTGAAGAATAAATAGTTATTCATCGTCCATAACAAATTGAATAGTAGAAAATGCAAAATGTATCCTATGTATTGGTTATCAAATTTTATAGACATTATCATTAGTATAAACTTCCTAATGATCGAACGAAAACATTAACCATCTTTATTAGTTATATCAAATTAAGTAGGATAGAGTTTCGATTAGAGGCTAAGTCTAAACATTAATTCTCTATGCTGGGTTAGACTAAAAATGTAATGTAAATGAATTCATTAGGACCGTATGAGAGACGGCGCAGATCAAGGGGGAAGCCACGCTAGACAAATAGGCACAATTTAAAGTAAATTATATTGACTGATGAGATAACCTAACTGGTAGAGCAGCCAGCACATAGCTAGAACGTCCGGGTTAGATTCTTGGTTTCGGCAGAATATATTTCCTGCTAAAAATCGTCCTAGACTAACTATTGCGTTATCTATATGTGTAAAAAAATTGGCAAAGTAAAGGTATCCCCTCATAAGGACTGTATTGATAAAATTTCTTATAATCAATAAGAGAGTAGTTTAAGAGTATCAAATGCCAATTTATATGGATTCTAGAATTTTTATAGTCTGAGGATAATTTTAATGATTTGATAATCATCTACATTGAAAAAAACTAAATTAACAAGAGTACATTTAATGTGTTGTATCTATGATATTAATAGTACATAAATGTATATGAAATCATTTATAGTTTCCGAAATTTCGTTTAAAAATTGGGCCAAGTAAAATATTAAGATTATTAATAAACAAATTAGTTTTACGTACTACGTCTTCTTTTTTCTAGTTGAGATGCTCGTTTTGCTGCACGTCGAACCCGTTCCTCTTTTTCTTGTTCTTCTCTACATCGATGAAAATTTTCAACAACAACGCCAACGAACATATTTAATACGAAGAATCCAACAAGAAGAATAAATGAGATAAAATAGAGCAATCTCCACTCAGAATGATTTTCTTGGGGCTTAAGATAGAATAATAGGTTCTTTTAGTTTTGATCATATTAAACAAATCTTGCTATAAACTGAATATACTTACTTGTTGGTCAACTCCAACGGCATCGAGGCCAGTATACATTATGTTAACCCAGCCATCCCGTGATGACAGAACAAATAGTGACATAAGGGCATTACCCAGATCATCAAAATTGTATTTTCTATTAACCCAAAAGTTTCGAGGATCTTGAAGACAATCTGTTTTATTTCTCACATTTTTCACATCAGGGCCATCACAATAATAAAATGTACCCTTAAAGAGCTGTACACCTAAAATTCCGAAAATAATAAAAAACGTACAACAGATTAACACAATGTTTCCAATAGGTCTTAAGGACGATAGAAGTGTTTGAACAACAAGTTTTAGTCCCGGTGCACGGTTGATCACACGTAATGGTCGTAAAGATCGTAGTAGTCGAAAGACTCTTAAAATTCCGAATATTCGAGGACTACTGGATGAAATACAGGTCATGAGTAAATCGATGATTGATATGGTAACTAACGTTCCATCCATGATATTCCAGCCAGATGTATAGTAAGCTCCATCACCGAAAAACATACCAGAAGCTATTACCTGAAAAAAGTAACAAATTGCAATCAAAAAAGTAATTTTTGTGTAATTTTCATATAGTATGTGTTGGGAATATAAGCGCCTTTTATGCAATGTGTTCACTACAAAAATCGTCATGGATGCGTTTCCGCGACCAAGAGTGAACAACTTTTGGCTTCAGTTTTACAAACTGATATGTCAGGATATACAAACGGACTTTGTCACATCTTTTCCGATTATATATATTATTATTTCCATTATTTTTCAAATAAAATAAATTTGATTATTCAAGACATTTGCCTAATTGATAGACAGTATTTTTCCCATATTATCTGATGTCTAAATATATTTCAATTATTTTCCGTAATTTTTTGAAATACATTTTAAGAAGAGCTAAAAGTAGATGGAGAAAAAACTTAAGGATTGAAGGTAACGATTATTACTTAAGTTTTTTTGTTGAGTTTTCTTAAGATTTCGTTGAATTAGAAAAGATTTCGAAGAATAGTTGAGGAAATCGTCTTTTAGATATTTTATTGCTTTTGGAAAACCCACGTGGCGAAAAACAATAACATTTTTGAAAAAGAGTACGAGACGGAAGAAGAGCGTTAGCTTTCCAAAAAGGGAAAGACCATGCAAAGGGACTTGTGCGCGCCTCAAGTGAGGGACTTCTAATTATGTCATATTCGACTAAATAAATACGTAAGGTATGATGCATCATTCAGTTATCGAAAAAGTAAGATTGAGATCAGATCGTCGTGGAACATTTCTTGAAATTGTAAGTCTTGTTTTGTTTTGAACATTATATTGATAATCTTCCAAAGTTAGTAAATTTTTTTTGTATGAAGTTTATTTGATCGTCAAATTCTTTTTGAATGGATGTTTAAATTAATTCGCGAGTAAAAGTGAATATTGCGCCAACTGAAACATCGACTAAGGATCAATTAATTGTAATTCATCTTGACCAGAGTAAAAGGAATCATCTGTTGGTAACGTTTAAATTGTTGTTATAATTTTTCAATGATTTTCGTTTTTCCAAATTTCGTTATTGTTTTTATATAAATTACACATTTCCACTTTCTCCTATTAACATCTTGAAAGAGCAAAAATACATATCACATAAAACTGTTACTCATCTGATTTCAAATGATTGTTAAAAGAAAAATTTTAGACAATCATTGAGGCAATTTGTCAGAATAAACTTCATGAAATTTGTCCAGTTTCAAAATTCATCAGCACTCTAAGAAATAACCCGTATAAATGAAATTACAGCAGCTGTCTGTGATTCTGAAAATACTACCTTAAACTAAGCTTAAATGGTCATTTGCATGCTATTACAATGTAAATAACTATTTTCAGAAATTTTGTCGGTCTAGTTGTTCGTCCGGAGTAATCTTCACGAAGAGAAGAATGTCAAGAGTAACATAAGCTACTTTTAATTAAACAGATTTTTTTGCATAAATCCATTCCTTATAAATAATTAAAAACATGATCTAATCAACAAATTTGAATTTTTTTAGGGGAAATTGTTTCTTTATCAGAGGGAAGGTATCAACCATGTAATGCAAATAGGAACAGATTTTATCATTTAAAACAATTGAATTTGTCATAAATAATTGAAAATGAGATCTATGAAATTTGTTCAAGTTCTTCCACCGGGATATTTTTTTTCTTACTAGTAAAAAAAGCACTAAATAAACGGAAATAAACTCTTCTAACTTTCGAGTAGGGAAGTTATTGCAATTAAGTCGAGTTTTGAAATTTGAATTTTTATCCCATCTCCGTCCTTCAATATATTTGCAAGCATATTGATTAATTCGAAAGAAGTCATGTGCGTGTTCGTATGAACTATAATGTATATATAAATGTCAGCATTTTGTTCGTTTCCGATATCTCAAGAATGAATAAAGATATCGACTGGAATCAAAAGTTAGTCAGAAGACATTATCATAAAAAAAATGTGAGTAGAAGTTAAACAAAACAGTCAAGCCAGTTTTTTTCAATTGACAGAGAAATTAGTGATAAACAAATAATGCGATCTACTACTTGAAATCCTGTTAAGGGAAAGAATGAGAATTTTATTCGGAAATATAGTCGATATTGATGATAAATCATTATTTACAACCCATTATAATTTTACTAATTATGCAACAATTTGGATTCGTTATAAACAATAGAAAATTGGATTTATCCATTAACTTATGCATATGTTACGTCATCGTGTTTTCAGAATTTTCTAAGTCTATCTTTCTTTTATATTTCAATAAACCAATTATTTCAGATAATTGGATGAGTAATGATAATTAGATATGACCTGATAATAATGATTTCTATAAAAAATGAATGTTGGTTTTGCTGACGACTTAATGTCAAAATTGAGTATACAGTTTCATTTAAAGTAGAACTTTAATTTCCCTGACGAAGCTGTAGATTCAAGTATTCGAGACCTAGATACCATTTGCGAGCCATGAAATGTTTACGAGTATTTCACAATTTAATTTCCGTAACTGAAAATACAAACGATGCATTGTCATTTCAGGTTTTTAGAACAATCCGGCAACGCGGATCAAGTTCGGACATTCTTTTAGGAAATATGAACTCTTATCAATGCTTCTTGTCAACGATCGTAGACTCGTCAACACGGCCTCTGTTCCGAGAGTCGTATGAATATCTAACTTATCTTAAACCCAATATAGTTACATTAAGCATACGATTTCCTTAATAGATAAATAATTACGATTGATTAAATATTACTTAAGTTAAATTTAGTCTGAATGAATTTGAGTTCATTGCAAGTTTAATTCCACGAATTTAATAAATTATTTAATAAACATATCTACGATTTATTCTTCGATGTGTGTGTGTGTGGGAACGGATAATTCTCTTACCGACAGTGACAGGAAATTACAATAAAAAAATTGAAAGGAGAAAAGTTAATTTTAGAGACACATCTCCGACTATATTCAAATTGAATTGATTAGCTGTTTGAGATAATTCTTTCAGAACCCGGTAAGATAAATGAATTCTAAACCCTTTCAAATCTAGAAGTCCAGTGGAGGAAAAAGGTCGAAAGGACAGAGCCCTTTCAAAGGTTTCAAAAAAAAAAAAAATTCACGTAAAAGACTATAGTTCTTTACAAAGAATTGCTTACGTCCGTACTTTCGAGACCACTACTAAATTATTCCAATCGAAACTAAATAAATAAAGAATACAAGTAAAAGCATGAACGCGGATATAACACATACAACACATGGATTTGGATGTTTAACGAAATAAGGTTATTTATGACGAGATTCAACTTCGAACAATTACGCATCGTTTATAACAACAAAAATATTTCATGAACAATTTGTTCTAGGAGCAAATAAACTGCAAATCATTGTTAACTCCCCAAATGGAAGTCATTGAAATGATCCTATTTTGCGACTTCGGGACTTCAACAGATCTCGAAGTTTCCACAAATGGAAAGTTCATATGAATGGTTATAAGAAGGATTTATGAATGTACGTATGGGCGTTTGGATAATTTTTGCTTACGATTTTTCAAAAAAGTAATTGAGATATCTATTGTAAGCCGATTCCATTTGATAGAGAACTCCCAGAAAACCGCTGAAAGGAATGTTATCGGTCAATTATTATTTTGTTTTTATTTCCAAAAAAAACATTAAAATTCAAAACTGGCACTGGTTTTCAATCGATAACGATTAGTTCGATAACGATAAAAAATTAAAGTAATTTAAAAGTAATTATAAAATTTAATTTCAATAATAAGTAATATTCTTTTATGTTATCTATATGCGCAGTTAGTATTTACATGAATATCAATCACGATTACTATCATTAGTTTCGGCAATACTCGAATTGCTAAAAATTGTTGACGACCAATCCCTGGAGACCGTATCATAACGGTCAATATTCTCTTCATCAGTCACTACTTTACCATCTGTCAGATTTTTCGCCTAATCTCTAAATCCTTTCTACATGTATCAGCTATCATTTGCTGTTCTCCAAATGTTTCATTGCCCCTGACTTTTCCAATTTTTCGTTCGAATAAAATTTCTTGAGGACCACAGGTCACTCTCCCCTCCTCTGTCTACTCTTTCTCGGAAATCTTTGAAGATCCCTGAGCCAGTCTTCCAACCCCTCTTGAATAGTTCACATCGTTCTCAGCTACTCTCTTTCTGCACCTATTAAGCCCCCTCGCGATTGTGGTAATACCATTCAGTCACTATCAGTCTTCTCTTTTGAGGACACTTTGAGTATTATGCTAATTTTTGGGGATACTTGTAGTGTCGTGCTATCTCTGGGGACAATCTCAGTGTCACGCCTCTTTATTTCAGTAGATCATTCGCTTATTTCTGACCCTGCAGTGAGTGGAGTGCCAGTGATCCTGGGGACTTTAACTTGATTGCGAGCTCTCAGATCTCTGGATTTTATACACGAATCATTTATATTTAATTGATTAATTCACTATTTCCATTATATTCAATCATACATCTTTCATTAGGAATAAGACTATGATTTTCTGCCCTGAAAAGGAAATTTCGTTTAAGTGCCTAGCCTCGGTGCTCTCGAATCTGTAAATATATACTACTACTGATAGATTTCCCCAACATTGTCAGCAAATAGCTTAATACCAGCAACCTGTTGCTATGTGATAGAATTAAAAAAATCACATATACGTAAGTATTGTTGATAATAGAAAGTAATCTCAATTCTATCGTAAGACTCAATTTCTGCTCTTTCACAATGAATTTAATTTATGACATCGAAAGAAAGATGCTTCTATACGTTTTGCACAATTTTTAACGTTTTATTAGTTGAAGAAAAATTTACGAGTTAAGAGAACTCATACTTATTGTGACGCCATCTTTTGGATAAGGTCCTATTGTCGATTATCAGTAATATTTTATTGAATAATTGGAGGCTAGTAATAGCCCGATAAGGTTATTCTGGTTATTTTCCACTTATTGGTCTATATTTTCAGGCTCTCAGGAGATATTCAAATTACAATTGCAGTAATTGTTC